AAACACGAGAAAAAAAAAAAAAAAAAAAAAAAAAAAAAGGAAGGAAGGAAGGAAGGAAGAAAGGAAGGAAGGAAAGAAAGAAAGAGAGAAAGAAAATCTGAAAAGAAATAATAGACTAAAACCTCAAAGGATGGACAGCAACAAGAGTCATGACAGACTTAAAACAAACCTATCCTAATTTTAGACAAAATAGACTTCAAGACAAAACTAATCAAAAGAAGCAAAGAAGGTCACAACATATTGATTAAGGGAAGAATTCAGCAGAAAGAGATAACAACTATAAATATATATGCACCAAACACTAATGCACATAACATTATAAAATAAACACTAATGGATATAAATGATGAGATAAACATCAACAAAAATATAGTGGCAGAAGTCAATACCTAACTATCACAAATAGACACATCAAGTGGAGAAGGCAACAAAGAAATAATAGAATTGAACTAGACCTTTGAATAAATGGACTCAATATATATCTAGAGAACATTCCACCCAACAACAGAATACACATTCTTGTCAGTAGCACATGGAACTTTCTCCAATATAGACCACAAACTAGACCATAATCCATGCTTAACTAAATACAAAAGAATTGAAATTGTTCTGTGCATACTATCAGGTCATAGTGCAATGAAACTAGGAATCAATAGCCAAATAAACCACAGAAACCATGCAACTGCATGGAGATTCACAAATATATTGTGGGATAATCAATGGGCCCTAGAAGAAAGTAAGGAAGAAATTAAATAATTTCCAGAAACAAATGAAACCAATGCAACACAATGAAAACTATGGGACACAATGAGAGTATCCTAATAGGGAATTTTGCAGCTGTCAAATTATTCTCATCCTATGATATACTCCTTTATGTAGAAGATTTTAAAAATTCCACCAGGAGATGCCTAGAACTAATAAACTCAGCAAGGTAGCAGAATACAAAGTCAACATGCAAAAAGCAATAGCAAACCAGACATGTTGGTGCACTCCTGTGATGGCAGCACTCAAGAGGCTGAGGCAGGAGGATTGTCATGAATTCAAGGCTAGACTGGGATGCATAGTGAGTTCAAGGTCACCTTGAATTAAGTAGCAAGACTGTGTCTCCAAAAATAAATAAAAAACATAACAATGAATAGCATTCCAGTATACCAAAATGAATCTCCTAGAAAAGAAATTAGAAAAACAATACTATTCACAATAGTTGCAAAAAATTAAATACTTAGAAATTAAACAGGCAAAGAAAGGGAAAGACTTCTATAACAAAAACTAAGTACAATGAAAAAATATCAGAGAGGATGTCAGAAAAAAGAAAGTCATCCCCCATTCCTGGATAGGCAGAATGAATACCGTCAAAAAGGCCATATTACCAAAACCAATATATTGGTTTAATGCAATCCAAATCAAAACACTAACAACGTTCTTCACAGAACTAGAAAGAAACAATCCTAAAATTTATATGTAATCAGAAGAGATCAAGAATAGCAAAAGCATTTCTGAGCAACAAAAGCAAAGCAAGAGGTATCATATCCCTTATTTCAAGTTACGTTACAAAGCTGTGGTAACAAAAATAGCATAGAAATGACACCAAACAGACATGTGGATCAATAGAACAAAATAGAGGATACAGAAATAACACCAGACACATTCAACTATCTGTTCTTTGGCAAAAGGATTAAAAACTTATGTTGGAGAAAAGATAGCCTTTTTAACAAATGGTGCCAGGGAAACTGGTTATACACATGCAGAAGATTGAATCTAGACCCATACCCCTCACCATGTACTAGAATAAAATAAAATGTACCAAAATCTAAATGTTTTCTTCAAACAAAAACATGTAATCTTCTGGAAGGTAAAATATGTGAAACTCTTCAAGACACAGGTATAGGCAAGGATTTTTCTGAATGGAATCCCAATTGCATAAATTATTTCTTATGTATTCTATTGCATAAGAAATAACATCAAGAATCAACTAATGAAATTGTACTAAATTGATACAGTACATAATGTTCACATTCCTTGTTGGGCATTGTTACATGCACATAACACATCCTGATTCTTTTTTTCATCCATTACTTCCTGCGAGGCTTTCATGAACTGGATGAAGGTCTATAGCAGATTATTTATACATCATTAGGAGATGTGAATGTATATAGCACATGGCTTTCTGGAAAACTTTGTTTTACTACTGCACAGAATAACAGGCATTTTCTGTGCACATGTGACATTTAAAAATGCAAATTGGTGAACTTCTCTCTTTTATAAGACTGTATGACATATTATAGGACAATTCTTGGAAAACTAAAGTGAAATAAGGAACTACTTTTTTAATTAAATTTTTACTTCCAATACATGAACATTAGAGATCTGATTACATATCAGATCTCAATGAAGAAAATAAGTCTTAAGTCTTCTCAGAGGAATTTTGTTATTGCATTGTAATGTATAATCTAGAAATACATATTAACTCAGAGTTCCAGAGATCAATAGTTACACAAAGAATTTTATTGCTGTAAAATTTAGAAGTTTGATATGCATGGACTTGGTCAATGCCACCTGTATTAAAACTTAAATATCTTTCTTGCTTCTTCAACTACTTTTGCAGTAATGGGAGGCTTCCTCTGGCCACCAGGCTGCAAAAACTTCTTCACATTGGGCAGGTTACTGATTCGGGTTTTTAGGGCCTGCAACACACAAATCACAGCCTCATGGAGGATCCAAATTCCAAACCAACTATTAACAAAACCCTGGAAACCCCCATCCCACCACAGCAAACACCAACTGAGAGGAGCCATCAGCTCCAGTGTGGAGCTGGAAACACAAACCCAATCATAAGAATACAAGAGGTAGAAAGCATAGCTCAATAGCATTCACTTAAACACCTTCTTTAGAGTCTCATTAAAGTCATAATCTTCCCTGTCCTCTTAGACATAAATGCTTTTACTTTCTTTATCCTTGCAACTCAAAGAGAACAATGTGTCTGCTAGATATAAACAGAGAAATATATCTAAACAAAGAAATGTAGAGATGAAAAAAATCAAGTTGAAAATTAAGATAGACAATATTAACTGGGGGCTAAGTCACAGCAACATTCACACTAATGGTACTGATAGGGCTTGGTTGTTAGTAGGGTGCTGTGTGGATTGGGAAGCTATGGACCTATGAAGAGAGAAACACAATTTCTGATGCGGGGGCAGAGCTGAGGAAAGGACATCAGATAAAAAGGGGAACGAGGGACCAGGGAGATATGGGCTCTGAACCCTTCTCCTTTCAGAGGTAAAATATTTTTGAAGTAACACACACCTTACACTTTCTTGCACATAAACATTATTTTCATGCCTCAAGTCCAAGGCCTAAAAGCTCACATCTGAGGCATGAGGTAGGAAGTTGAAGGCCTGGAGAAGGGTGGAGGTCAGAATCTCACCATGGAACCAAATGAGTCTTACAATGAGAGACAGGGGGCCACCTCTGTGAGGCAAGTGGAACAGTCACCTGCAACAGGGGGAAGTTGGCCAAAAGACTGGCATCAACCTCTTCAATACAGTACAGAAGTTCGGTCAGGAAAATGTCAGCCTTGCTCAGCTTATTACCAACAAGGTAGTCTTGTCCATGGTTCTTCAATACCTGGAGAATTTGAGAAGTCAGATCATGAATATGTGCCTGTTAGACTGGATCTTTGCTTTTCCCCGAGCCTCTCAGCCTGACTCTCCCCCTCTGATGCCTCCTTTAGTTTGTTTGGCTCTCCAGATCTTTTTCTGCGGCCCTGACCCATGAAGGAAGGTAAGAAGTGGCCTCTGCTCACTCCTGTGTTAAAACTCAGGTGCCGCTTTCATCTTCATATCTACGCCCAGTTGTGCTTACACCTGTGCCCACACCTTCCCTGCATCTCCCACATGTACCAAAGGCTCAGCTCCTGCTGCACTATGTTTCCATTTGCGCACAATCCAAGAAGCTGTCGTCCTGAAGTTTCAAGACTTGCTTCTCCTCTCCTGTCTCCTATCGCCCACAAACACTGGCTCCCGCCTCACAGTGGCACCCTTTACTAATACGATTACTGCAGTGCCACCATTTCTCCTCGTCTCTGCTCTCTCATTTCCTGCCTAGCTCTCTGGAATCTGATTGAACCTGAGCGAACTGGAATTAATTCTCTCCTTTGCTCTGTCTCTTTCTTTACAGTATAGTGTAATCTCCATGAAGAGTTCTCAGGGGCAGAGATGATGTCTGCAACCTACTTTGAAATGCATGAGAATTTATATGTGTTACTGATGGAGGGAGACGAAGATGCATGATAGTTCTGTAGGGTATTAGTTTTGTTATCTGGATGGTGACTATGCATTCATTCAATACTGAATTTATTTCAACTTTTATTGATGCATAAATGTATTTAATAATAAAGGACCTCGAGCTTGCAAGGCAGGTATGATGCCACTGAGCTACATCCCCAGCCCATGTAGATCATTTTTTATAGTCCTTTAATGTCTCCTCCTCTCCATCCCTCTAACAATATCCTTTTTTAAGTCTTCACATACATCCCAGAAACACTACAATAATCTGATAGGCATCTGCTCCCATATCTCCCTACACATGGGGCCAGAATACTTTATGATGTTGTATTCTTATCAGATTGCTCCAGAATGGAAGCCCAGGGCATTAATGCAGGAGCCACACAACCTCAAGTGTGGCTTAGCATCTTTCACTTACCACATTCTACTTATGACCATGAAATTCTGTTGAATACTGAATTCTAAAGTGTGTGTAACACATTGAACTTTGGCTCAAAAAATATGCTTTTGGTATAACCCTACAATGTGTCTTCTCCATCCACCCTTATAAAATTCTTTGAACCTCAGGGCTTTGTTCTGGTTTCCCAAAGGCTCACCACATGTAAAGGGCAAGGCTCTCAGAGTGCCCAGCACTGTTTCCTCCTGACCTCTAAACTCAATGCCCTAAAACTCTGAGGGCCTCACTTACTTTTTCAAAGGCAGGTAAGTAACGATTCTTTGTTCTGTCTTTGATCATGGCTATCTTAGCATCTTTTTCATCTGGAGAAACTATTACCAGTTGTATGATCATTTCATATAAATCTGCTACTCCTTCTGTATACATATCAATCCTGAAAGACAACACATCCAAATAGTCAAATTTTCCTACATTAACCTACACCATTTAAAACCTATGTAAATAAGAGCATCAGATGGTTACACTGTAGTTTACCTACAGAGGGGAGTTTTGTTTGGTGGGGGGGCTATGATTATAGACATAAGATAATTTATTGAGACATATTTTTATATTTCTTATATCCACTGCATAAATACTTGGATTTTCCAAATACTGATTTAGAGTAGTAACATAAGATCAGGTATGGAAAGCCAATGATCTGTCCATTGCTAATAGAAGATTTACCACTTGAAGAGCAAATAGCGACTATTGCAGCAACACAATACAAGCTTTCAAATAAAAGAAGATTGAAGTGGGTAGCGTTTATATATTATTGGTCATTGTGCTGTTAAGTTTTACTTTTGTGTTATCATTTTTTAAAACAGTCTATGAGATAGACTGATAAAAATTTTGCTCTGTCCATGACCAAATACATCGGCAGAGAGGCCAGGGATTTAGCTCGGTGGTTCCACTGCCTGCCTTGCAAGCACAAGGACTGGAATTCAATTTCCAGTGCCAAAAAAAAGAGAGCATTGTTAGAGGGCCCATAGTCACAATCAGGGGAGACCTTAGCGGAGTCACTACATATGAACACTGATGCTACAAACAGGGCTTGCGGCCTCTGTGTAGTTCATGTGTGCACATCCTCTTGTGCCTCCCATGTGCCTCCAACATAGGCTCATGACAGAACACCTGGCACAGCCTCTCAGGTGTGTCTCTGCTCTCAGACATCTGTTTTACACAGTACAAGCTCATTGCTCTGTCCAGTGATACAAGACCTCCCAAGTATCTCCCATGAAATACATTTCCACAACCTTCTCCACATGCTGTTTCCTACTTTGGTCTCATTTCCATTGTACAAGACTGCTTACTCTAGCCCAGTGGTGGCAAACCTATGGCACACGTGCCTCAGCAGGCTGTTTGTTATCACTGAAAGCTCTAAAAGATTCGCCATCACTGATCTAGCCCCTTCTTCGGTCCATTTAAAAAATTTAGTTACAATGAATGCATGTCACAGAAGCCATTTATTTCTGTTTTTTCAAGCTGGACCTTCAATCATTTTTTGTAATTTATTTGACAACTTTATTGTCACATATTCACATACCTAAGTTGTCTATGCTTGAAAATTTTAATGCTCAGAATTCTTAGTATATTTGTAGAATTCCACAGACACTAGCATTGACTATTCAAAACATTGTGTTACCCCACCCCAAAAAATGTTATGTGCTTTTGTCAGTCACTGCACGTCTCCCTGTAATTCCATTGAGGCCATTAATGTATTTTCTGCCTCTGAGGATTTTAATGTTGTGAACACTGCTTGCAAAGTCATAGAACAAATGGCTCTTTTGTGTTACCTTTCCTTATTATAGCTAGCACAGCATTTTCAAAATTTAACCTTGTTTATCATACATCACCACTTCCTCTCTTTTCATTACCATTGTATGCCTTTGGTACATTTTGTTCCTTTATTCATCCTTTATTCATTGTTCCTTTATTATGGATCTTTTAGATGCTTGTACTTTTGAAAATTATGAATAACTGCCGGGGATTTAGCTCAGTGGTTCGGTGGCCTGCCTTGCAAACGCAAGGACCCGAGTACAAATCCCCGGTGCAAAAAAAAAAAAAAGAAAATTATGAATAATACTGCTAAGAATATTTCTAAACAATTAAAAATGTTTTTGCACTTCACAATGGTATATAGAACTGCAGATAAACTACTGGATAACTCTGTACTGAACTTTTGGAGGAACTGCTAACAATTCCATATGGGATTTTATTTTCAATCAAGCAGCTCCATCACAGACAAAGGGCACCCCAAACATCCCTGGTCTTGGGTTTTTTATATTCAGCCAGGCTGTTGTACTCCTGCATAAAATTTCAGGTAGCCCTTCTATCACAGGCACTGGCTGCCATTATTCATCGAGTTGACCTGTCTATAGGATTAGCTGATATTTTAGGTTCCAGGTCACCATTATTAAAATTTTTGAACTTGAGAATCAGCACCTTTGAATCCTCAGATCCCAAGACCCTTTCTTCTCACCCTTAAACACTTTGTCACTTGTCCCAAGCTGTTGGCTAAACTCCAACTTCCAATACCCGAGCATTTAAGATCATGATTCTATCATCCTCGTGATTTCATGCTTCACCAGTGTTTGAAAGCTGTAACACTCTGCTATGTCTGAGGACATCATTTTCTGATATAACCACAGTCATCTGAATCTACAACAACTTTACTCTTCTGTGATGGTATAGGACATAGTGATCTCATCTTGTATTCTGCTCCAATCATCTCGTTGTGTATATTTAGGCCCACTCTGTTGCTAGTCATGATCCTCATGCCATGGATCTATTCACTGTGGGTGTGACCTAAATTCTCCCTATGTTATCTTATGTAACAACAGAAAATATACTGTACAGGGCTCGCTCCTTCATATCTTTCCCGTAGAGGTTGTATTTGGTGGCAATGTAGTTGAGAATGGCTCTGGACTGCACAAGCTTCATCCCATCCATCTCCACCATGGGTATTTGCTGGAACATCAAAAGCCCATCTATTGGAAATAAGAAAGAAAAAAATAATGAAATATAATAGATACTACTATTTCAGGGTGAAAAATGATCATGGAAATGACTTAAGAAAGGAAAAATATTCCTTGGTCACCTTTAAGTAAAATAAAATTTTGTTCTTAATTTCTGGTCATGCTTTATTCTCTTATCTATCTTACTTAAGCTTTTTTACCCTATTCATTTTTTTTTCTTTTGAGACAAAGTCTTACTATATAGTTCAGGCTGGCCTTGAACTCACTATATAGCCCAGGCCCACCTAGAACTCATGATGATCTTCCTGCCTCAGCCTCCCTAGTGCTAGGATTAGTGTCATGCACCACCATACCCAGATTAGCCTACTCATTTGTCTTTTATTTCTTATCCAGGTAAATACAATATCTCCTATTTTTGTGTGTATTATTTATCTTCACAAATATTTTAGGAATGGTTGGAGGGGTGGAACAAAGTTGACACCTGGATGCCATTTTAACTGGTAAGTTCCAAAAATCAATCTCATGATGATTGTGAAATTTCCAGTAGGTTCTGTGGGAGGTTTCTACATAGGGATTTCATCCTGTATTCTATCAAGCCTGCAATGGTGTTAGGATATTTACTTTTCACATGCAACCAATGAAAAAACTCAAAATAATGGCCTCATAAATTTCTCCTCCTGTTTTCCAACGCATGGCCTTGTGTGTGCTTCAATAGGGGTGCAGTGCTGTGTGATAATGAGCTGACTACAGTCTGATCACAGTATAGAAAGGAGAGCGTTTAGAGGGTCCTGGGGATAGTTCTATGCATAAATACTCAGACAGGTCCAGTTTTTTTTATACCACAGAGAGTTTGAAGACCTCCTTAGGATCTATATCCCTTATATTTTACCACTTTTTCCCTCTGCACCATTTCTTCTTCAATCCTTCCATCATGTTGGCATTGCATGACATGTTGACTTAATTCTACTAGAATATTAGTAGAACACGATTCTGGGTTTCTCAAGATTAACCATGATTGTATGTTCTTGGGCATTCTATATGATCTCTTGTTCATTCCCCTCTCACACTAATCCCTTCTCTGCTTTCTCCTTTCCATGAACTAAGTATCTTTGCTCTCTCACACTCTTCTGCCATGGTATTTCTACCTTGAAGTCATCGAATCATGGACTGAGTCCTTGAATCCACGGGCCAAATTAAACCCTTTTTTCTTTCCATTTTGGATATCAGGTAGTGTGTTTCAGTGAAGGGAAAGCTGACTAATGCAGAGCACTGATGTCAGAGAAGTGGTAGTTGTTGTGACTGTGCCTGATCATATGATTTAGAAGCTTTGGAGCTAGTTTGTGGGAGGAGTTCAAAACAATTTGAAATGTTGGCTAAAGAAACCTTAGAGTACTATAGACAGATCTCGATGAAAGACTCTGATTAGAGCTCTGAAGACCAGAATACTAATAAGAATGGTGATGATGTAGGCCAAGCCCTGGAGATTTCAGGTAGGAACAAGGGATTCATTGGCACTTGAACCAGAAACCATGTGTATTACCTACTGGCCAAAACAAAAAAAATTGTTTACATTTTGACCATGTCCTGAGACTTTGCAGGAGGCTGAGATTAAGGTCAGTGGACAAATTTATTAATTTAGCAGCAGAAATTTCAAGTTAATCCAACATTTAGTTCATACCATGAGTACTGTTGGCTGCTTTTAGTCTGGTTTATAATGAAACTTGGAGACAAAAGGCAAGCAGAAATATTTGAAAATTTTAAATTAAAAAGATTAATTGTAGCCAGGCGTGATGGCACATACCTGTAATCCTAGCACTCAAGAGGCTGAGGCAGGAGGATTGCTGTGATTTTGAGACCAGCCTGGGCCACATAGTGAGTTCCAGGTCAGTCTCAACTACATAGTGAGACCTTGTCTCAAAAAACAAAAAAAATGAATTGTATTAAGTGCATGTGTTACTTTTCTCATCACTGAGACACATTATTTGATATCCACAGTAAAAGAGGAAGGGTTTATTTAGCTTACAGTTTGTAGAGGTTTCAGTCCATAGTCACCTGACTCCAAGGCTGGGCAGCATAGTGCAGGGGCATGGCAGAGAAGAAACAGCCCATGGCACAGCAGGCAGGAGGGAGCAAGCTTTCCTTCTGCTTTTCCTTTTATTCCATACAGGCTACAATCCTATAAACTGAATTCCTATTATCCCCACTTAGATTTATGCAATCAGTGGGCTAATCCCATAGCACCCATAATCCATACTCATACACCTTAGAAGCAGTCGCCTCTGAAAAGCCCCCACATATGAGTGCATGAAGTTTTGAGGGGACATCTACATACAAGCCATAAAAATGTGTATATTACATAAAGTTTACATTTTTGTGGGAAGTTGGTACATACACAACTCAATTTCATTTTTCATCCCCTATCCCTTCCTTCCCTCTCTGATACACCTATCTCTGGATCCCCTTCCTTTTTGTTTTTGTTTGGGGGATTGTTGATTTTTTGGTTTGTTTTGTTTACACTTCTTGTATGGAATTGCTACATGTATATAGTACATCCCAATTCCTTTAAAAACATAAATTTTGTGCCAGGGATTTAGCTCAGCGGTTCGGTGGCCTGCCTCGCAAGCGCAAGGACCCAAGTTTGATCCCTGGTACCACAAAAAAACAAAACAAAACAAAACAAAATAAAAACATAAATTTTGAGGGCCAGGGATTTAGCTCAGTGGTTCTGTTGCCTACTTTGCAAGCACAAGGACCTGAGTTCAATCCCCGGTACTGAAAAAAAAAAGTGAGTTAAAAATGTAAGTTTTGGCACAGCAGGAACCACATATAAATTTAGGGACACAGAGTGTGGTTTTTGTTTTTGTTTTTATTTTGGTACCAGGGATCAGGGCTTGAAGCAAGACCTTTCACTTGCAGAGCAGGCGGGGAAATGACTAAGCTAAATCCTTGGCCTGAGGTGCAGTTTTTGAAGAGAATAGCCCCATAAAAAAGCTGGGATTTGGCTCAGTGGTGCCATGCCTGCCTTGCAAGCACAAGGTCTTGAATTTGATCCCTGGTACTGGGAAAAAAGGAAATAAGTAATTAGGAAAAAAGGAAATAAGTAATTTGAATAGAGACAAGAATAAAGATGACAAGAGCACCTCAGAAATCAGGAAGATTCTACCTATCACAAATCTTTTAAATCTTTCATTTGAGTAGTGAGTCCCTGGAATTCCTGCTTCAAAAGGCTGTACTAGAACAATGGTATCTGGGATTCATTTCACTGTGCTCAGCTAGTCTGCAATTCAGAGGCTACTATAGCCATGGCCCAAGGGGGCCCAGCTAGTGCTCTAGCTAACAGCCAACCTTGGCACCATGCACACATTGTTTACACCAACATGAAGAATGTAAGAGTTGTAGGTGCAGGAAGGCTTCCACCCAGATTTGGTTGGGGGCACATCTATTTTGTTCTGTTTTTTTTGGTTTTTTGTTTGTTTGGTTGGTTTGTCTTTTTCTTTTTTTTTGTACTGGGGATTGAACTCAGGTCCTTTGCACTTGTGAAGCAGGCAGTGGAACCACTGAGCTAAACCCCCAGCCCACACCCAGATTTTAAAGGGAGGTCTAGGAAGCCAGGCAAAAATTTCCTGAGAAGGCAGTGTGGTATGTGATGGGAATGAAGCCAAATGTGTGGTGGAGATCCCAGGGAGTAAGAGGTGCCAGGAACATGGAACATCCACTGAGAAAAGCTGCAGGCCATGTGTAGAACAAACCCCGAAGAGAAACTATGTGTGTTGCAACTGGCAAGGCCAAAGGGATGGAGCTCTCCAAGCCCTACAGACCTCTCATTTTATTATTATGTACCCCAGATAGCAGGCATTCCTGCCCAGTACTAGTGGGCTATGCTTCTTGCCTTCCCTAATTTGGCTGTACTGTTTTATATTAGGAGTTAGACTGAAGGCCTGCATGACACAAGCAGGCATGTCAGCTAGCAGAGTTTGTCTAGGCCTAGTCCTGGTCTGGGAAGTGGCAGGGCCCTACTGAATTACATGCAGCTGAGGTCAGTGTGACTCCAATTAAAATCCTTTCCCCTGAATTACCACTTCTCCTTGACATTGTGGGTTGCTTGCTAATCGTACCCAGTCCCAGTACTGATTTCTTCTATCATAGCAGATAAGCAGTGCCTACTTCTTAACATCCCTGCCTGGTGCCATCATGCCAGGCATTTGGCAATAATTCACTAGATGACTTCAAAGCTCCCCAGATCCCTATTCCTTCTCACGATTGTATTCAATAAAAACTGGATGTGCTTGAGGGCTTTTGTCTTTGCTGCCATCAGCAGCACTGACCAGGACCCAAGACTCAGCTTCACTATGAGTCTCCTTCTGTCTGTTCTTTAACCTTTAGCTGTTGCTGTGGTGGCTCACAGGAGGCTGGGACCTACTGCAGGAGTCTCCAGCAATGTCCATTCCCTTGACCCTTACCATATCAGATATGCAACTTAATGTTTATTTTGGTGGCTTTTAGTCTTTGACCTGATTTTTCTTTCTTCCAGCTCCTCCCTTTCAGAATGGGAATATTTACCCTGTGCAAATTTACTTTAGGATTATGCAACTTGTTTTTTTTAATACAGTTTTACAGCTCAGAGTTTCCCATGAATCTCAGAAGATGCTGAGTCAGACTTTTGAAAATTCTGGTACTTCTAAAGCTTTGGGGAAGGGAATATTCCCTTTCCAGGTGTAGGTGTGATGGCTGTATTCTGTTCGATGGAATTACGAACTTGCTATTATCTTTATTTGGAATTAAATTGTTGGTATAAAGTTCTCAAGCGGGAATTGTAACCATTAATCCTGATATGCCCACTTCATTGGATTAATAAATGCCTACCTGGAAGATTAGTGGAACGTGTACCTGGGTGTGTCTAGTTAGGGGACGGAGATATGGTCTTGGGTATTATACACTGCACCTTGACCATTCATCTCTGGCACTATTGTACTGTACTATTTCCTGGCCCCAACTAAGCATCTCTGCTGTGCCACACTCTTCTGCCTTGATGTTTCTGCCTTGGAGCAAGCTGACCATGGCTTCAATCCTTAGCACTGTGAGTCAAATTAAACCTCTTCTCCTATAAGTTGTGAGTGGTGGGAAGGCTGAGTAATATAATGTTACTACATTATACTAGAAACCTTCATCAGAAACATTTAGATTCTTGATCTTACCATTTTTTAACTTTTCCAATTCTTCTGCAGTTTTTATAAACTTCTCTTCAAACTGCAAGCAGAAAAAGTAAATAGAATGTTGTTAGTTCATTCCATGGTGTTGTAGTCTTTTAAACTTGAATGGCCCCTGAAATGTAGTTAATATGAAGATGTTAAAATTTCTAAGTTTGACACTGAATACAAATGTGTCTGTTTATGGTCACATGAAAATTTACATTAGATCCATCAAGAAAATGTCTTATAGATCATCAATACACAGCTGCTCATTTCTATAGTTCATTCTACCCTGGCACCAACAACATCTATGATTGGGTTACAATTTGGGAGGGATGTCACTTAATGGCAGGATCTAGGAATTTCCTCTATTTGTGAGGTTTCAGTATTTCAGTAGAGTCTGTGATATCCAGTGCCATCAGAACAGAACCTTGGGTGTATATCATGGATCAACAACCAACTAAGATTCTGCTCCCACAGGACCCTTAGTGGAACTGTCATCCTTTCCTTCTCATAGCTTAAAAAAGCTTTTCATCATGAAAACATTGGGACATAGTTTCTAAGTTGTTTGGTAGCACAGAGTTTATTGATCTCCCTGTCCAAAAGAAGTTGTACAGGTATTAAAGAGTATGTGCCACCAGAATCATGTTTGGTCAACACAGGAGGATGACAAAGGTGGGGTGGGGCAAAGATGGAGAGAATGAAAGTTTCAGCCTTTGGGCAATGAGAACCCCGAAGATTTGAGCAAGAGTTTCCAGGCATCCCTTGCCCACCATTCTCTTCAGACATGGTGGATGGAGAAGAGAAAACCTTTCACGCTGAGGACATTGTCCCTACTTCTCCTTCTTTTGTTGAACTCATCCTTCCCAGAGGCTTGAACTACCGATCTTCTGTCTGGATGATAGTGAAACTCCTTCCCCTTTGGACCTTTTCTTCCTATTTCACATTATCTAGTACATTTTGGTCCTCATTTACACTTTCAGTTTCTCACACCAGAGAAACTATTTACACATGTGTGTCCTATTTATTTAGACTTCAGATTTTTTGGGGGGGTTACTGGGGATTGAACTCAGGCCCTTGTGCTTGCGAGGCAGGTGCCGGAAACACTGAGCTAAATCCCCAGCCTAGACTTCAGCTTTTAATCTTACATTTCTTCTGGCACCTGAGGGACAACATCTATCCATTGTCCATGATCTCTTCTCCCAGCTACTGGAAACCCCTCACTCGGTTCGTTCCCTTAGGTCTGTTCTTACAAGTGTTACCAGTGGTGCAGCTAGGGGGCAGCAGTCAAGCAGTCCTAGTAGCAGTTCCCGTACACAAGCTACAAAATGTCCTTTAAACGACAATGCTTCTTCCCATACCCCGTTGAAATTCTTTGTCTCTGACCTCAGAGATATGCTTGGCCTCTCTTGTTCCCCTTGAATCTTCAGAAATTAGTATATAACTCAGCATTTAGTAATAGGTGTTCTACAAAATAAGTTCTGAATACACATGCTCTACCTTTAACAGGCAGTTTTCATTACCTACTCCCTCCTTATTTTGTGGCATTTAGGTTTAACTAGTTCGCTATATTTTTCCCTTTTCATAATGTAAATTTCTAGCATAAGCAAAAACACACATAAGAACAAATATTTTCCTAACATCAGTCACCCAGCTCCAGTAATTACCAACTCAAGCTAATGTTGATTCATCTCATGCTCATTGTCTCTCCTACTCTGGTCCTAATATCCAACTGATTCTTGTTGCTATTTGACACCCTAAACAAATGTACCAAAAAGAAAAGGAAGGGGATCAAGAGGTGGAAGGAGGGAGAGTTAGGGAAGGGAACAGGAATGAAAAAAGGAATTGAGATGTGTTATGTACATGTACCAACTCCCCACCAATAATGTAGACATTATGTACTACAACATTACTACTAAAAAAAAATAATAATAATCTGGGGAAAAAAGCTTTTAAAAAAAGTTTCTGTGTCTCTAAAACATGGACTGCTTTTATTTATTTATTTATCTATTTTTTGGTTTTCTGAGACAGGGTCTCACTATGCATTTGAGACTGACCTGGAACTCACTATGTAGCCCAGGGAGGTCTTGCACTCACAGCGATCCTCCTGCCTCAGCCTCCTGAGTGCTGAGATTACAGGCGTGCGCCACCACACCCGGCTTGGACTGCTTTTAAAGTGATAAAAAGATCACAACTGGAGTATTTCCCTTTCAAATGTTGCAATACTCACCCAGTGTTGTTCTCTCTCTGTCCCTCTCTCTCTCTCTTCCACTTTTCCTCTGCTTCAAATAATTTATTTTTTTAAATATCACAACTACCATCACTCCTAAAGACAACAATAATTCTTCAATGTTACCTACGGTTCAATTCATACTTAAGATTAATTGCTGAATACATGCCCTAAATATTTTGAAGTTTATTTAAATCAAAAAAGTTCTACACATTGTGATTATGTGACATTTCTTTTGATTCTTCCACAAATATATTTAATTGCTTGTGTGCTTTTTGCTCGAAAGATAAGTGTAATTTTATTTTGTCTAATCCATTTCTTTACTAATAAGTTGTGATATTTTTATTTATGAAAAAATCTGTCACAGTTTACCTTGGAAGAAAAACTCTTGGCTTAGAAAAATGTTTTTGGTACAATCAATTTTAGATCCAACATAAGAACTGAAAACCTACCTCTACTCCAGCTGCAGCCAAGAGCCACCGGATGGACTCCATCCTGCCCCGTCCATCGAAGTAGTGAAGCACCGGCTTCCCTGACATATTAGTATTCTCTTGGTTTCACTAAACATGAAGGAATGAGTACACAGAAGCAAAATGTACTTTAAGGTTACGGTTAGTGATCCAACAACACAGAAGAAGGCTCTACCTTTTCAAAGAAGCACTGGAGGAGGGCCAGAAACTTCTTTCTCCAAAATTCTTACCCATCAGTGGCTACCATCCTGAAAATGCACCAGACCTAGATAGGTGGTGATTATCTACATTTTGTAAAAACAGGCTGGGTAGCATTCTGTGAAGGAATCTGGGGACTTGGAAAAGGCTTTTAAAAACTAGAGAATGAGTATAACAGAAAGACGGTGGCAAGAGCAAAGTCCCTCTCCAACTCTTTGACTCCAGGACTGTTTGTTCAGAAGTATTCAGCAGGTCTTAGTCTTCCCTGCTATCAAAATCCAAATTATTGGGCCAGGGATTTAGCGCAGAGGTTCTGCCACCTGCCTTGCAAATGCAAGGACTGGAGTTCAATTCCCGGTACAAAAAAAAAAAAAAAAAAAAAAAAAAAAAAAAAAAAAAAAATCTGAAGTATTTTTACAGATGAAGGTACTTTTTAATTGGAATTCTATGTTCCCACTGCTGCATTGAATTTACTTTATAATTTATAAAAGAAATAGTTGCTACATTAACTGCATTATAAGGGAAAAAAGTAACTAACATAAATTTAGTGTGTCACATAATAGGCAGTTTCTCATTTTTATCACTGAGTCATAAAAATTGTTTGATAGAGAACCTTTATTGTCCTAATGTTACAGGTGAAGATATTGATACCTACACAGATGACATGATGTGGGAACCTGGCGTTCAAGTACAGTCTTCTTTGACACTAAACTGTAAGTTTAGATTCAGATTGACAGGCACATATAGTTGGTTTCCAACCTGAACATTTCGCTTCAAGAGGCACCCATATTCTTTTTCTTTTATTTGCTAAAATGGTTCTCCAAATATGTTACCTCCCAAGTACAAATCCAGTATTATTGTGTGTGACTCCTGTAGGAGTCACCCTAATACCACCTGTGTAATAAACAATATAACTTTTATCAGCACAAGCTTATTACCTGTACGCCCCTAGGTACTGCCATGGTTGTATTTTTAAGTTGTTGACAATGACACCATTCTTGTTTTTCTCATGTTATCAACTATTTTGCCTTCATTTTGTAAGTTCTTTGCTGTGTTTTTTTTTTTTTATAAAGAACTAATAAGCAAGATTTGAGTCATCCCCTGAGCACACAGAGAAGGTACAAGCCTATGAAGTACTCACACAAAGTACCACATTTAAGAACATTTTCTTAGTGGAACAGATGTAAGAACAATTATGAAGATTTAAAAAAGCTGCACCAACCTGATCAAAGTCCAAACTGCTCTTTGCCCAGCACCTTGAAGATAGCTGGAATTAGTATGGTAGTTGCTTTATACTGAGACAACTCTTGCTTTAGAAAAGGGCTTGGTCCAATAGGGAACAGCTACTCCCACTGCTTTCAAGGTTCCAGAGTCCAAACCAGACTACAAACAAAATGACAGATAATTAATGTTTCAGTTCAAGGTTATCTATGAACACACTAAAATATTTCAAGTTCATTTGGTTGCCTCAAGAGGCCACCAGTATTGAGGCCATACTCTTAAGTGAAATAAATAGGGCAAACATGCATAAATACCAAAGAGTTTCTCTGGTGTGAAAAACTAAAAGTGTAAATAAGGTTCAAATTATATAATTGATAATGTGAAATGAAAAAAAAAGGTCTAAAGGAGTAGGGGAAATGGGAAGTGCAGGCAAAAGAAAAAATATATGAGAAAGGAAAAAAATGGAAACAAAGTCTTTGTAAATAGGGAAGGGTGGAGGGGGTGAAAGGAGGGCAGAAGAATGGGGAAAAAATAAGAACCTAGATACATCATGTAAGGTACAAGATCCCAATGATGAATGTAACTGTATTGTGTACCTAAAAAGTACCAATAAACTCAATGAAAAAAAAAAAGCCACAAGTCTTTGTATGTCTTAGCATTGTGCAAGATTTATAACAATGCAAAAGCCTTGTGGAAAATGAAAAGTATGTCATAGAGCCGGGCATGGTGGTGCACACCTGTAATCCTAGCACTGGGGAGGCTGAGGTAGGAGTACCGCTGTGAGTTTGAGACCAGCCTGAGCTACACAGTGAGTTTCAGATCAGTGTCAACTATATAGTGAGACCCTGTCTCAAAAAAAAAAAAAAACAGATAAAGAAAAGTATGTCATAGAATGGTGTTAGGAAAGAGGCTTTGATAGAGAAAATTTCAAGATCGCAATCTACATTTGTAAAATGGGCAAGACTGTGAATACAGTTTCTATGAATGCTTAATTCTAGAAGCAATAAGAACCTGGTGGAGGTGTCCCAACTCTAAGTGGGAAGACCTCAACTGCACTACGTGGGAGATTGCAAACACTTCTCCTCTTGGCTGCACCTCGGCCTTTCTCTCTCGCCCTAGCCTTATTGCACTGCTCCCTCTGCTAGAAGCACACTCTCCTCTCCTCCCTGCCATCCTCTGCTTCCTTTAACATGCTGCTCCTCACTGAGGGTTTATGTCTGACTTCCCTTTCGAGACTATAAGCCAGTTGAGGGCATGCTTGCCAACAGTTGTAAACACTATCTGAAGCAAACCCCAAACTTGATTTTACTTTATAAATAAAGAATTGAATGTCTTTTACACTTTTTGAAATTGTTGTGGCTGCCGAAAAATTACAGAACAAGTACAGTTTAAAATATTACTCTCCCAGCGTCTTTTAATGAAAATATTTTATGTAAACTGAGTACAGCTGTCAAATCAAGGGACTTCGCCCTCATATGATATTAGTTAAACATTACACCTCGCTTAGATTGCGACAGTTTTTCACACAAGACCCATTTTATGGTGCAGAATACCCTCCCAGCACTGTATTTTCTTGCCGTGTCGGCCTGCTCTCCTCAGTCATGGTGCCTTCTGTGTCCCTTTGAGGTGAGCCCCCCGCCATCGTGAGCATTTCCGGATATTTTCCTTTGTGAAGATACTGCCTGGTTCTCTTTACTTCTCTGCTCCAGCTCTGCTTTGTGCCTTTTAGCAAATAATCCTCGCTTCTGTTTTAATGGGTAAAGTATTCCAATCCAGGAGCTGGGCTGTGTGTAGCCCTTCTGTGGTTCACATGCTCCTAGGCCCTCACAGTGGGAAGTGGGCATTAACCCACTCACAGGCTGCTTCTCTGTGTCCTTCTGTATCTAGCGGCACACTTCGAATTACAAATCATGAGTTCATACTGATACCAGCTATTTCAATTAAATAGATTTGTTTAGGCCCTACTGAAACTTTGCTCTTTGACAAGTGAGAAACATGACTATGATATCTAAAAGGTCCATTTTGGGATAGGGTCTCACTGCACAGTTCAGGCTGGCCTTGAACTTGTCATTGGGTAGCTCTAAAAAGTGGCTCACTGACTACATGTTACCGGGTTCTAGGCTGCTCACCTCTCCTTTTGGAGTTGGATTCCAGGTTCTTCTCGCCTTGAACAAAGAATTGAACAACACGGGCAAAAAGTAGTGGCAAAAATGAAGAGTGGGAGAAAATCTTCCTCTCCGAGTAAATAGAAAAAGAGGGAGAGAACAAAGATAAAAGTGCATTCTGTGTCCACTGACCGTGCACAGAAGCCTCTGAAACCATGATAAAAAATATAGCTTTCCTCCTTTTTCATATTTTTAAATTTATCAGTAGGTGTTTGTGATATATAATTGTGTTCCTCTTGGGGATTGGCACATATGCACACACACACATATCACATTTTCATCATCATTACTTTCCTTTTTAAATTGATTATCTTACAGAAAGTAGGGAGACAGATTTTTTCCAAATGGGAAAGAGATCAAGAGAAGCGGGAGAGGGGAGGGAGACAAAGGAAAGGAGAGGAAAAAAGGAACTGAGATGTATTCTGTGCAGGTACCAACTGGCCGACCGGTCACGTCTCACTGCCGCCCCAAGCCTCCGAGCCTCTGCGGATACTCAGATGCTGTGCCCCAGCTCACAAGGCTTCCATGCCTTTCTCCCATCCTTAACTCCCAGGCAAAGTTGCTTCCCCATCCGGGCCCGCTCCCTGACGCAAAAAATGTCCCCCACCCACCCTGACTCCAGCCAGCGTCCTCTCCATCTCCTCAGGCCCGCCTCAGCCTGAGCCTGTAAAGCCTGTAACAAACACCAGCATTTTCCAAGAGGTCGAGGCCTGAGCCAGGCCTCGCTGCCCCTGAGGAAGCTCAAGGCCCTCCGGGAGGAACAGTTTGTCCCTCTCTCTGTGGGAGGGCAGAATCCGCAGCTGGGAAGGCCGAGAAGCCCGGTTCCCAGAGCTAAAACCCCTGCGTGCTTTTCGTAACTCTTCACTTCTGTGACCGGCTCTGAGCCTCACCGGACCTTTTGGCTCCCGCTTCTTTGAAAACACCCAGGCACCTCCCAGCAGATGGAAGCCGGAGGTCGCTTTCTGCAGCAGTGCTTCTCACTGATGCAACCCTTACTGCTGATTAAAACCTGTCCCTGCCTCGTAAAAAAATATAAATAAACAAATAAAAGGCCCAGCATTTACATGTTTGTTCAGTCCTACTGCATGTGAAAGAGAATTAGGATTGCTGACCATGAGAAACAAATTTACTAAAGATATTGTAGTACTTTTCTTCTTATCCTGTACGTTTATGTCTTGAGCCTTACACGAAGTCAAAATGCTGTTTATCTCATTGAGACATTTATCTCCGTGAGTTTCACTCCATCTTTCAGTTTGTTTGTCATTCATTTGAAATGCTGTTGGGTTTTTAGTGTGTTTGATATCAGTTTGGATCTGCCTCATATCCTAGTTCTTTTTATTTTTATTATTCATTTATTTAATTTATGTTTTGGTACCAGAGATTGAACTCGGGTCTTTGCACTTACTTGCAAGGCAGGCGGCAGAACCACTGAGCTAAATCCCCAGCCCACAACCTAGTTCCTTTTAATTAATTATTTTCCATGTGACATGCAAACTTTACCATGGTCCAAGACTCAGAGTAAATAAAACATTGTCCTTAGCCAACTGAGGTGTTATCCTTACTGTCCCATTATTCTTTCTTCTTTCTATTCATTTCTTTCCTCCCCTTGTAGAAAGCCTGTGGCACTCATTTCTAATTTACTCATTCTTTTTATTTTGCTCACGGTATATTTTCGTATAATCTCTTCTTCCTTACATGAAGAATAGCATACTACATGTACTCTTTTGCTTTTTGTGTGGTGATTATTTGTACTGCATTATTGATCAAAAGAAACATCTCAAAGTTCACCAAGAAATTCTTATTTAACAGCTGCAGAGTTCTTCATTGTTTAGATAGTTTCTACCTCCCCTTGCCTGTGTATGAGGATTGAGATTTTTACCAACATTTCGGAGTTATTGAAAACAATGCTGTGATGAACATCACTGTGCATGCGCAGTTGTGTATTTCTGGAGATGTACTTTCTATGCTTCTTTAAAATGTAAGCATGTTGTTCTACATATAACTATATAATTCCACTCTAATACTAAAAATATATCATTTTCAAATTTCATCAAACAGCTACAATACAAATTTTCTCCATTTCTTCATAACAAATTTCTTGTAGTTGACTTATTTTGCATCAGCATTCAAGCAGGTCCACAAAAATGCCTTGAAGTGATCTGAGTAATTTACAGAAATGGTTGAAAAGGATAGAGTAAGACTAAGAGGCATGCTCAGAGTCCAGACTCTTCCCCTCAGGTCCTCCAAGTGTACCTGCAACCTATGCACCAATTGAATACCCCTATGTACTGAGACATAGCAGGTGACAACACATAGCACAGTCTCACAAAACCATGAAGGAGACACCTGGGCAGAAGATGTTTTGAGAACCCTCCTGAGGTTCATTTGGGGGATCAGAAGAGTGACACATGGTGCTTGGTAAGCACCAAGTTTGGAAGGACCATAACGCAGCCAGAGGAAATTGACAGGATAGGACAGCAACATACCCAGGATCACAGGCAAAAGACCCCAAACAGGCAGGGTATAGATTGGTTTAGAAATCGGGGAGGGAGGAGGTGTGCGGAAAGCATCCCACAGAACACACTAATCCCTAATGGATTTTAAGAAAGGCAGTGATATTCAGATATGTGACCTAGGAAAACAATATGGTTGTTAAGCGAAGAAGAGCTGAAGGAAGTTGCAGCTGGGGAGACCCTCTGGGAGGACAGAGAGATTATCTCAAGCAGTGGAATAGAACAGTTTGAGGAGAAAGATTTGTGAGGTGGTCAGGAGGTAGAGTCAACTTAGACTGTGTCCCCTTCAGGTGCAAGAAGAAACAGCCAAAATGAGTGTTGGCTGCTAGTCTGTCCTCCATGACACAGATGCCTATCACTCATGCATGTGAGGCAGGTTGGTGTCCTTCCATTCCCAGCAGCCAGTCTCAGGAGTTCAAAGCAACTCATATCCTTTTTCATTCCTACCCACATTTGCCTGAGGAGCAGAAAAGGTTGGGTGACTCTGCTTGGACACATTAGTTTTCTCAAGGCCCTAAGAGTGAACTGTTATAAAACCCATCAGGAGTCCAGGAAGAAGACCTGCCAGACCTCTCCCTGGGCATCTGAACCAATATACACCTGTTTTCTGGGCATGTCCACATGGAAGGCACCAAATTGATCAAGTGCCAAACTGAACTCAATTATCCAATCTCAAATCCAGATGATCCCCATAGTTGATGTCCCAGTTGCCCAGGCTGGACACCTGCCTGCCTTCCTGCACTCTTCCCTAAAATCTCCCTTATCGCTGCTTGGTTTGTCTCAGTTTGTCCTTGGACAACAGCAAGAGAGCACCTAGGACTTTGCGGAGAGGCTCAGGTCCCACCCCAATCCTACTGATTTGAATCTGAATTTTAACAAAATACAGAGGTGACTCCTGTGCCTGTGAAAGCTTGCTGCATCAGAAATTATTACTCACCTTTCCAAACACACCCATTATATTCCTAATATTGCAGATAGGTAAGTTAATTAGATATCTTGTAGGCAGTTAGACAGGGCTGCCCTCAAAGTGCCAGCCCTCCAGGAGCCAACACAACCAATGAAGAACCAACATGGAGAACAATCGAGTCACATTCACTGGTTAGCAATTATAAAAAGAAAAGAGGCACTATTTCCACTAGAGATAGCAGTGTTTGATATTCTAAATGAGAAATTCCTTGTATGTGACCTTTTTCCCCATTTGATCCTCATTTAATCAATATTAACGGTGTGACTGTACTTGTGATCTTATTGGTTGGTCATGACCAACTTGTAAATTTCCACTGGGTCTTATAGTTTTGTCTCACTTTGCACCCAACTCACTTCATGGCTTTGCTGTATAAAACACCTTTGAAAAGAGGGGTGGTGGGTAGCCCACTTTCTGGTCCTTCTTCTGCCTCTCTTAGACAGAAGCTTTCTTTCTCTCAATAAAGTTTTCCTACTCTTAGCCTCCTTTGTCCCTAGAATTCATTCTTCAACTTTAGAGAACACAAACTCACATTTTGGATATCTAGCAGGATTGGGAGTGACATCTATTTCCCCTGTGTCACAAGGGATCTTCCACAGTCACCATATTGTATATATCAAGGTTCAACCTGCTACTGTTCATGGTTCCCTTGCCATGGTCTTTCTACTTTGACATTGGACTCAAATTTTTCTGTGCCATCTATGCATGTAAGAAGAGAAGTTATATTGCACAGGGCTCTCTCCTTTCTTTTCCATAGAGGTCATATTTGATAGCTACTGAGTGGAGATGGCTTAAACATCAAATTCTTTACCCAAATATCAAATTCTTCTACTTAATAAGTAGGCAAGAAAAAGGACAGTGAAATGTCTATGGGTCTGTTCAAATGTCTGGAGATCTTAAAAATGAATTTTAAAAAATTCACAAAAATGTAACCAGTACATTGTTGAAATTAAAAATTAATTGTAGCTTAGTAATATCATCAAATATTAATGAATGATTCCATTTCTGTTGCATAATTGTTATAAATCCTTATAACACTCTTTGTGAGCTAGTTTTTTCTATCTCCATTTCACAATGAATGAAAATGAGTATTAGAGAAATTAAATGCAATGTCTGCTATTCCACTCCTTTCAGAGATGGACATGAAAATCTATGCACAGGTCCCAGGACTGAAAGGAGGACAGGGCTGGAGCTCGCATAGGTTAAGGTCCCAGGATCTTATGAGGAGTTCTTGAAGCCAGAAGTCATTGCTGACAGCAGGACCAGGAGGAAGCACACTCTTCCACTATTTGGTTGTGAGGCTGCTCTTAAATCAAAGCAAAATTAGCCTTCATATTGGCCCAGCTCATAGGTCCAAAATCTTTTCACAGAGAACATGCTAATTTCTTGCTTCATTTGGTGTTCTGTATTCTACCTCTTAATGTTTGTATTTTATCTTAGGACCAAGCCAAAAAGATGTTGCTGCACTCACTTTACAGCATGTGGAATGGAACTTACATTTTTTTCAGTATTAGTCACATGCTGTTCTCCCAAAGTATCTTCAGTCTATTCTTATCCTAATTTTACATTGAGGAGACTGAGTTTTCTCTTTTTATTTTGTTTTTTTGATACCGGGGATCGAACTTGGGTCCTTGCGCTAGCAAGGCAGGCCACCGAACCACTGAGCTAAATCCCCAGCCCAGGAGACTGAGTTTTCTAGAGTAACTTGTCCTAATTAAGTGGTGCGCTTGTCATTCAAATTTGATTCTATTCAAAACAAAAGTCATTTGTATGTTCAGTGTTAATGCATTTTAAAATATACATGGCATTCTTTCAGATAATTGTGAAATATAATCACTTTTTAAAAAGAAAATTATCATGAAAATATCTGAATGCATTTCATGTGTAAGGCATGCGTATTTGATAAAAATTTCCATTTCAGTTTCATGTGTCTGGTGGATATAAATGTGTACTAACCAATGGCCAACATCATACTAACTGGAGAGAAATTGAAAGCTTTCTTTCTAAAATCAGGAACAAGACAAAGATGTCTGTTATCACCACTCCTGATCAATATAGTTCTCAAAACATTTGCCTGAGAAATTAGATATGAGAAAAAAATAAAAAGAATATGGATAGGAAATGAAGAAGTAAAATTACCACTATTTGCAGATGACATAATACTCCTCATAAAAGAACCCAAAAACTCCATCAAAAGACTCCTATAATTAATGGCCAAGTTCAGAGGGGAGTAGCAGGGTACAAAGTTAACATTCAAAAATCAATAGCCCCTTCATTCCACATTTTTTTTTTTTTTTTTTT